ATGGAACAGCGGTTCATATACAATGACAAAATATTCACATGGTTAAATAAAATATGCTAAATTAAAATATTTTATAAATGGAAATATCTCAGAAATACCAGTTAATTAAAAAGCACCCTCTAAGATCCCCATCCCTGTATAGAATGAAACATAAAACCATCCTACCACTGCCATTGAGATGATTCCAACTACCATGACCCTCTGGGGCAGAGTAGAATGACCACCGAGGGTTTCTGAGGTTGTGAGTCTTTGCAGGGGCAGAAAGTCCCACGTTGCTCACATGGAGTTGCTGGTGGGTTTGAATGACCAACCTTTCAGGTAGTAGGCTAACTTCTAACCACTCTATTCATGAGTTCTTCATATCACACTATCACATCATTTAAATAGGGCAAAATGTTTTCAAAAATTAAATACAGTAAGGATGATGTAATTCATCGATGCCATATTAATTATTATCAATTATTGTTAGAAGATAAGAAGCAATGAAGACTATGCATTATAGGAGACATTTGTGTTTACTAGTTCCTAACCTCTCTCGCCCTTGCCACCTTTTAAAATATTGAAACCATTTTCTAAGATGAATGTAAGAAAATGTTATGAAAAATAAATATAGATATCATGATGTCCATTTCCTCTAATATTTGATATGCATTATAGTGCATATAGTGACCCCATAGGACAGAACTGCCCCTGTGGGATTCTGAGACTGTAACTCTACGGGAGTAGAAAGTCTCATTTTTCTCCAGAGGAGCAGTTGGTGATTTCAAACTGCTGACTTTGGGGTTGCCAGCCTAATGTATAACCTCTGCAGAACCAGTGCTCTTGTATGCACTATAAGCAATATTAATTGGATGAAGTAGAATTAATTGAATATAAAGAAACCATTTTTTTCCTTTCAACAAATAATGATGCCAAACAGCTTGATTGAATTAAATCTGTCTACGAAAGACCAAAATTAAGTACTTGAATAAAATTATTCATGGAAATAATATTTGAAATACAATTTGGAAGTGAATCATGATAATTACAATGCATGGTGAATGAAATTAATACCACTAAATGGTATATGTGATGACTGTTGAAAAGGTAACTGTTTTGTTGCATACATTGTAAGTACCACAAAATAATAAATATAGTAAGACAGTATTTGAAAATAAATTCCATTAAATTGACCAGAAGGTCTAAGAAGAGATAGTGGTAAGAAGTCAGAAAAGTAGCTGAGGATGGACATTGCTTTTGCAATGACTGACTTTACCTAGTAGCTGCGTGAATACTTTGTTAAAAGCATAAGAATGACTACTCTAACCTAAACTTTATTTTTCCTCTATCCCAAACAATTTATTCCTCAGGGCCCTTGGCATTTTATTGTTATTGTTGTTTTTTATCGTAAATGACCACACCTTCAAAGTCAGCTTGCCAAGTCCCATAAATGCCCCACAGTTTTTCCCATTTTGGTGTTCCCAGGCAAAGCACATTCAAGCCCAACGTGATGATCAAGTTTTGCATCCTAAAATTCAAGTCTCTAGCAGTAGAGCAACAAAAATGATGAAAACGTTTGGCTGCTATCTGAGAAGTTGGAAGTTGGGCTCCATGTAGGGTTATCATTGAAGAAAGGGCTGGCGATCTACATCTAAAAAGATCAGTCATTGAAAAACCTTATAGAGCAAATGCTGACACACATGGGGTCACCAAGAGTCAGACCTGACTGGCTAACTGCTGTACTCCTGTTCTCATTGCTTTCAGCAACCGAAGCATACTTCTTAGAAAGCGTTCACCCTTCCGGAGGAGAAACATCTCCCCAGGGCCTTCTGTAAAGCCCCGGTTACATCCTTGTTCCTGAGGCTGTAGATGAGTGGATTGAGCATGGGAGTGAGGATGGTATAGAAGGCCGACACAGCCTTGTCTTGCTCAGGGGTGTGATATGAGTGAGGCAATACATAGGTGTACATAGCAGCCCCATAGAAGAGGCTGACCACCACCATGTGTGAAGAGCAGGTAGCTACTGCCTTCCGCCTTCCTTCTGCCTCACTCATCCTATAAACTGTGATGAGGATCCTGGTATAAGAGGCAGAGATAACAGAAAAAGGGATGAGGAGCATCATGATGCAGCAGACGTACATGGCTGTCTCATAGGTTGATGTGTCTGTACAGGAGAGCTTTAGAAGGGCAGGCACCTCACAGAAAAAGTGGTTAATTTCCCGAGATGCACAGAAGGGAAACTGCATGGTGACTGGTGTGAGCAGGAAGCCATCTACAGAGCCTCCTATCCAAGCTGCCAGCACAATCAACAAGCAGACCTTGCGGCTCATGAGCACGGGGTAACGCAAAGGGTTGCAGATGGCCACATAGCGGTCATAAGACATAAGTCCTAGCAGAAAGAACTCAGCCCCTGCCAAGGTTAAGTAGAGGAAGTGCTGGGCAGTGCAGCCTGCAAAGGAAATGGTCCTCTGGCCCACCACCTGGTCAATCAGCATCTTTGGAACAATGGTAGAAATGTAAAGGATATCCATGACAGAGAGCTGGCTGAGTAGGAAGTACATCGGCGTGTGGAGGCGGGAGTCCATGTGAATGAGAACGATCATGAGAATGTTACTGGCTATGGAGGTCACAAAGACAAGGAGGATGAGGGCAAAGAAGAGCCAGGGAAAGCGGGTGTTGCTGAATAAGCCCAGGAGGACAAAGTCGGCATACATGGAATAATTCCCCCACTCCATTGCTCTGTAGGCTGCACAAAAGACAGAGAGATATGATAGGTAAAGTTTAGTTAAAAAGAAAATTATCTAGTTTGCTCAAAGAATTCTGATATAGAAAAGGAGAAATCATCCTTGTAGAAATGAAACACACCTCATTGTGAAATGCACCTCAATATAATATTCCCTAGTGTTGATTACAATTCATTGGTTGCGTTGAGATATTATTTACCTTTGTGTCCTAATCAAGAAAGTTAATATTTTTCAGTTTCCTGGAAAAACAGACTGATCAGGATTTCATTTTGAAGCATTACACGATGTCATTCATCAATCATCAATTTACGGCTTGGATACTACCAACTTAACCTATAATTTATCATGAGATGATTTTATGTTTCGTGGGTCACTGCCATTTAGATATTTTTCTCATGAAACTCTTTTACTCAGCTACAATCTTATACAGAGGAAGATATACATGAAAATGTAGCAAGCACTACTGAATTTGTGCTAGAATAAGATACAGGAAAATCCAAGACGCCCTAGCCTTTCTAGACCTAGTTCTGAACCTTTTTTAGTTTTCACACCTGGACTCCAGTTTGATCAAGAGTATGCAGGTATTTTGAGCAATGAAGTACAACCAAATTGATGAATTATATCCAATTTCAACCACTAGATGCATTTTGCATTGTAAAGTTGAGTGCTTTTCTTATGCTTAATGGGGATGAGATATTTAAAAACAACGATTCCATGTTGAAATGAAGGCACTAAGCAATCTAATAATTAATAGTAAGAAAGCTTTCTTGGATGATTGTCCTCAGCTGATAAAATAGTCCATGCAGTGGCACCTTAGAAGAAAGGTCTGATGATCTATCCCCCACCCCCAAAACACAAAAGGAAAAACAAGCATAAACAAGGTCGTTGAAAAGAGTCACGGAAAACAGTTCTGCTCAGAAAAGCTTGGGCTGACTCATTGACAACAGCAATGCTGTTACTTGCATACAGCAGACCAAACACACTGATACGGAGTCCATTCTGACACATATTGCCCCCAGGCAGGCTTTCTGAGATTGTTCATCTCTACAGGAGTTGATGTTGCCTCATCTTCTCCCCTGCAGAGCTGCAGTTGGGCTTAAACTGACCAGCTTGTGGCTAGCAATCTAATATCTAGCCTACAACAGGCTCCAACAAAAAACAATTGTGAGGATGGTGCAAGGCTGGGCAGTGGTTCGTTCTCTGTACACAGGGTGGCTATGAGCCAGGACTCTACGGCACCTAAGAACAGCCGTCTCATGGAGAATACTAAAATACATTCCTGGACTGGCTTTTCTAATGAGACCCACATTTTAGCTTTAGAGATAGCACAGCTTGTTTGTCCTTTAAATATCATCATCTTCACATCATTGCTTTTCACCAGTTGTTTGTTTGATATGTCTTTGTTCCTTCTCTCTCCCCTCCCCTCCCCAGCACTGTGCTAAACCACTGGGGAAATTAAAGACACCTATTCGGCAACAATCCACATTGTAGGGACAGTGGAAAGTGCCCATCACTTTAATCCTGAAGCACATAATAAGAATGATCTCTTAGGGATCCGTTCATTATTGCTTTATATTTAGAAGATAGTAGATGGTTAATGGAGAGGAAGCCTAATGGCTTGCCACTGCTCCATGGGGAATGTTAAAGCCCAATAGAGACATATGGGCACTGAAACTTTCCTTTAGGCCCATGGTGTCCCCAGGCCTGACCAGGAATATTCCTGGTAATCAAACTCATTAATGAGACCCTTGAGAGCTCCCCAGCATTCTGCCCCAAATCATAAGGAAGCCTGAGTGGCTCTGTAGCTCCTCATATTTTAATAGAATCTTATTATTCTGTCAATGTTAACGCATGCTTTACATTAAGAAAAGTAGCAAACTACATGGCAACATTAAGAAGAAGAAAAAAAGGAATGAACTGGAATATCACATGTCCATATAATAACTATCTCCATGTCTGAATATTTTTAATATTTAGCATCCTTTTAACTTTGTATAGCATGCTTATAAATATACATCATACTCATAAAATATACTCACTTCCATTGAAGTGATTCTGAATCATAGCCCCTAGGCAGGCTTTCCAAAATCATAAAATTTTAGGGGATCAAGCAACCTCATTTTTCTCTCTCAAAGTAACTCATGGATTTAAACTATTATCCTTTAAGTTAGCTTGACATTTGTCTCACAATGCTACTTGAATATACATAATAATATATGTATTCTAATAGTATCAAGTTTTATTAATACTATAATTAATAGATTACACTAAATTAACAAATAATATAGAAATTACTCTAGAACAGTGAGCTTGAGCTTTATTGAATACTATTACTAAATGAATAGTATTGAATAATCCTTTACCATATAGAAGATATACATCATATATACAGAATTTTGAGATGAATGAATAATGGGACACCTACTTAATTATTTATCAACAATTTGGTTTTTATGGGTTTCTAAGTTTATTTACAATGCACAATATTTGTTGATTTTTTTCTGTGTGTTTTATTTTTCTTCTATGTATGGTCTTAATTTTTAGGGATAAGCCCCTGGAAGTTGGATTTTGAAGATTTTGAAGTCAATCCCAAAATTGTATACTACATGTTTTACAACTGATATTAATAAGAACAAGTGAGCATGCTTATTTTACATTGCACATTCCAGAATCTAGTACTAGTTTCTAAATTAGATAAATGACAAGTGAGTGTAATATAAATTTAAAGCATATTATTTTTTAAAATTCTATTATTTATTTTAGATTTTAAATAGTTTTTCATGAACTTTGCCTTTGGTATAGTAGGAATTTCTCCAAAATTTTCATGTTATCTTTAAGAAACAAGAATATTATTTCATTTGTGGTATTTACTGGAAACAAATTTTCCTAAAATATTACTTTTCATTGTGGCTTAAGTATTAGAACAAAAATCTTAAACAAGTATCTAGTTAAGACATTTATTTTGCCCTTTTAAAATTTGAGTTTAGCTTATAAAGTTACTCCTCATACATATCTATAATTAATATGCAGTTTTATTTTAGATAAATTATCATAGTTTATAAAATATGTAATATTTTATTGCATCTAAAATCTATGTTGTTACTTGGTGAAAAATATGGAACAATAAGCTTCTTTCCAAGGTCAAACTTATAATTAATCTGTCCTTCAGATGATATCAATTAACCCTAATTTCTTCAAATAAGTAAAGAGATCAAATGTGAATGAAAAACAGGCAGGATTTCTCATTGAAGTTCACATTTCTTTGTTGATATGGGGAACATATTAATATGGATAAACTCAAGGTTTCACCCATGTTGAATGTGGTAATTCTGGTCTGATGTATGTATAGAAGAAAGTTGGAGTGACCTGAGTTAGTCTTATGGAAAATTGTACTGTAAAAAACAATATAAATATTAATATCAAATCTATTGCTTAATTTTAGGACCTCACTCTTTGGTTTTAAAGCTTTTCTCTCTCCAATAATAACAGATAGAGATCACCAGTGTAGTATCTTATCGTTTTTATGATGTAATTCTTCTGAGAAAAACAAGTAACCATATGAATAAGAAGATAGATAAGAAACCAGAAAAACCACGAGCAAAACCAACGTGCGTTAATCCTGACCCATGCAAACAAGGAAGAAAAGAGATCCTTGCTCCAAGCCATTTAATCATCTGCAACCATTATGTTTATATCATAGTGGTACTTGCATATTAAGCTTTACTTATTATGGAATAAAAAGCATGTTCTTAAGTAAATTAATTGGAGGGATCTATGAAATATCAGAAATAATTTGGGACCTCCAGACATTCCAAAAACAGAGCAGGGGTAAGATGACCCTTTCAGCAATATACCTGGAAAAATTGAACTCTGGTCCTCGGTCTACTCCCACCTGTCTTAGTTATCTAGTAGTGTTATAAAAGAAACACATCCAGTGCATGGCTTGCATAAACAGAAATTCGTTTTTTAATTTTTCATTTGTTTCTGTTCAATTATTCTCAGCTTATTTCTCTTTGTGTGATTTCTGGAGCAAGATTCTGATCTCCGTAGCCTTTCTGCTGGCTATCTGGAGATCGCTGTATGACTTGACATCATTTTGCCCCCATTTGCTTGCTTAATCTCCTCTATAGACCAAAAAACATTGAATAAAGACCCAATCTATACTAATATTGCCACATTGGCATTATTAAGACAAACCATTCCCACATAGGATTATAACCATATTCATGTTGCTATGGTTAGGTACTATCAAATTGGTAAAACAGAGTAAAATACTCGTTGGTCATGCACCATCCAAACAATCCTTGATATATTTGAGCACATTATTACTCTTAGTGTGTCAATTCCTTTTGTTTAGCACCTTACTCTTTTTCCACTAACAGTCTACCAAGCATGATTCCCTCCTCCACAGGCTAGTCGCTCCTGAAAAATATGCCTAGAACTGGTGTGATGAAGTCTTACCATCCTGACTTTGAAGGATCATTCTGTCGATACCTTTTCCAATACAGACTTGTCATCTATCCAGCCACTCAATGCAACCACAGTCAGTGAGCTTGCCATCCCCATCATTCAAAGGCATCCTCAGTCTTTCCTATTCGTTGTCCAATTTTTGTATGCATGAGAGTCCATTGAAGAGGCTTGGGTCAGGCATAGTGCAGTCCTAAAATTTGCATCTTTGCTTTTCATTACTTGTAAGCAAGCATTTGCTATCAGTTTGCCAAATGCATAGAAGTTATATTATAATGTATGTTTTTGGGTAACACATTCAGGTACACGTGGCAGTCATGAATGGATTTTTCTTCAAATATATCTATTCTCAGCATTTGTAGTGTAATAGCATGAATGTGAAGCCAAGATTAGAATCAGAAAACCAAGTTTCACAAATTATCTTTAACATATACTAGCTTTAGAAGCCTAAAATGTTATTCACATTTTCAGTTCTACCTGCCTCTCAAGAATTTCTGAGGATCAGAAAAGAACTGGGCTAATGAGTTTATAGCCATATAGGAAGGGTTTTCTTAACTAAACTTTCTTTATGGAATTTATTAAATATCTTAGAAAGGTGAATAGTAAAAATTGACCTTGCTTCTATTTCTACAAACATTTTCTAGATCATATAAGTGAATATATTTCCCCAATGATAACCCATTGTTGAATCTTTACATTGAAATAAACCTGTTTAGAGTGTTTATGACCAGAGAAACCCACAAGACTATGATCTACATATTAAACAATCAAGTTTATTCAAGTTGATAGAGTAAATTTGGTTAAAAAAATACTAAATTCACATGAGTTTCATAGATTTAAAAGTATCTAAATTAGAAATCTCTAATTAATCAACTTTAATATTCCCCTAAATAATCCTGTTTTGAACCAATTTCACAACAAATAAATCCAGAGTATCATATTTTAACTCTATATTTAGTTGACATCAAGTCCTTGAAGTTACTTACCCCAAGGAGTAGCCTCCTCAGATCTGTAGATCAAATACCTATTTCTCAAAGATAATCTTACAGAACTAACGTGAAATAGAATCACTGAGTGTTTCTGCTTTCTATCATGTCTGGGAAGCAAGACACATGAAACTAATCTCCCAAATTTAGGGATTTGGGTATTTCCAAGATACAAGAAGCAAAACAAAGAGAATTTCAGGGGCCAGAAGCAGGACACTGGACAATCTTGCTGATGTGGCACAAAGAAGAGGTATGCCTAAGATCAAAGAATTAAATGGTACAGTGTCTTCAGCGTGGAGCTACATCTTGTTGGCCGATGATACGAGTCAGTCTCTAAATAATCTGCAACCCTTATATGCTAACAGGGGCAGGGAAATAAATTGAGGGGATAAAACCTTAAATTCCTATTAAAGATGATGAAAGGTAAGCAGATAACAGCTACATTATGTCAGCTGCTAAATACAAAGAGCAAATGTCTTAAATAGGAGATGTTGCAATATAGTAGTAGAGCAATCCTTCCATTAGGAAGGGAATTGTTATCAGAA